CCCACTGTTGTTGAATGTTGAAGGGTAACTGTAATCGGCTATTCCGATTCTGCTTCTCTCAGAGATTTTATTCTCATTCGAAAAATTGTATACCCTGTAATATACAACGGAAACGGTGAGGAAGCTATACTGACCTTACTTGGCAGACGTTTTTTTTTTAGCATATTACTAATGATTAAAGAAAAATTTCGATATTATGGCGAAAAAACTTTACCTTCGTAATTTTGGTTATTACACAGCTCTTAATCTTTTTATAAGTCAATATATTTATGTACATTATGTAAGGCAATGTTACGAAAGATAAATTTTCTGCACGATATCGGAATTTAAACATAAAATTGTAGGTGATAAATAGTCAGAACACAGCCATTTTTAAGGATTTTATTGTTACATTTTTATTTTTTTTTATAGCGGCATTTCAACCCAAGCATGTGGGTCAACATCAGGGCTGAATTTTTATTGGTCACCAATTAAAACCTTAAAAATGATCGTGTCCTGACAGTTTATCACCTATGATATATAAAACAGTTGACTAACTAACTTCCTTCAATAATTCATTAAACATAAAATTATTTGCTCTAACTTTTTAATGGTTGAAGATAAGATAATAAAGTAATAAATAATACATTTTTGAAGAAAATTTAATACTCAAAACACATTTCTAAGAAGGTCCTTTTTAAGTCTTTCGTAATCTGGCTATGATATCTATGGAGGCTGACTTGGTGAGAATCGTGCCACTTCTTTGCACTTTGGAGTCCCTTATCAGGTTCTCAAGTGATAAATTAAATAGCAGGCCATCTTATTAAATCTTATATTAAATGATAAGCCATCTCCTTGTATCAGACCCCTTGTGATTATGAATGTCTGACAGGTCTTTCTCTATTCTGACTCAGCATCCCAATCCTACCATCAGCAGCTCTGTAAGATGGATCAATTCAAGGGAAATATTCATCGTACAACTCCTCTCTGATGATACTGTAACATGCAAAACAAAACATGACCCAGAAATCACAAATTTCGAAGCTGGAATAGAAACTAAACAGATCTAAGCAGCAGCACCAGATCAGGGCTGTGGAGATTAAAGGAACTCCGGTGAGACCCAGCGAAATTCCAATAGGCCTGGTAATGAGTGCTGGGGCTACCCCTGAAGATGGAAGATGTAAGCAGCTTAGAGAGAATCAGAACCCAGCAGGATGATACATCTTGTCCACTACTGGCCAGATTTGGGAAGCAATCTTTATGATTTGAACTGGTTTATAAGTAAAAAGTGATAGGACTTTCCTTACTAGTCACCTTGGCTGGCAGGAGAACGAATGCCCACAAAATCATCATCGGAGAAGCAATGATAACGACTAACAGACACCTGTACTGGCTAGTCCGACAAAAGAAGGCAGCTATAAAAATAAAATGTTTGGTTTAATAGTGGCAGAGTGAAGTATCAGTGTAGGGATGATCAGCTGGTGTCAATTCGCCTTCTGACCTTGACATCTTCACCTGACTTCTCTGCTCACGTTCTCCCATTCCAGCCCGTTTTACTTTCTGGATTTTTTTTTGAATTTTTTCTGCCCACTTATTTTTTATAACTTTAATTTTTCCTTTACTTTTGTTTATGTGAAAATTAAAGTTCCATCAGGTGCAATAATTATTTTGTTCTGTTTTATTATTACTCATTTTTCACCAGAGTATGTTTCTGTTCTCTTTATATGTAAACTTGTTATTATTTTGTTTCTTATCTCCTCTAATTATAGGATAATATCTAGATTATTTCTTATATCTATTGCTAATAGTCTATATTTTATTCGTTCTCCTAGTACTATTTCAGAATTTCCAGTTTATCTCTGATCAATCCAACCTATTTACTTCCTTCTCTTTAACCCCTCTTACCGCCTCACTATCCCAATCTACCATCTCCTATAACTGTCTTTTTAACCAGTCATGCACAGTTACTTTTAGGCCACATTGATGAATTCCACAATTTCTTCCTCCACAACTTCTACCACCTAATAGCTGTCTCTAGCAAAATTCAACTTTCTCCAGTAACTCAAGAAAACTGCTCTTGTTCATTCAATGAATAAAACCTCCAATTACATAACCCGTAATGATTCCTGCCCAATTTCCCTTGTGTTGTCTAATCTTTTCAAACCTTTAGAATGATTAGTTCAATCCCTATTATCCCACTATCTCAAGCAAAATAACCGTTTAGAACTGCCTCCAGTCTCGTTTTCGGCCTGACTATTCTACTCATTAAAATTTCCCAAGATGTCTACACAACTATAGACCAGCAGAAACTCACCATCCTTATTTTCCTCGATTTTTCCAAAGCCTTTGTAGGCTAGACATATTAGCAAAAATGTCTGCCAAGTAAGGTCAGTATAGCTTCCTATATTAGAAGGTCTAACATTTTTCGTATGAGAATAAAATCTCTGGGAGAAGCCGTTTTCGGAAATTCAGTAATCCCTCAACTTATATGAGTTTGCTCCTGTCCATGCTCTGGAAAATGAAACTGTTAAAGAACACATCATGTTTCTTCACATGATGAGTGGGTGTGACACGACTTTGGTACCATACAATCAAGGTAAGTTGAAGTTTGTGAAAACTCTCACCAAAAACCCCTACCTTGCCGATGTTATATGTGTGTTTAAAAACCCTGAGCCAACTCCAGAAAGCATTGCAGCAGTAGGGAAGAGATTCCTAGTCAATGTGTACGGATACACAGGAAGGAGTGAATCATCGATAAACTGTCTGAGGTATATGAATTATAAAAGACCTCATCAAAAATAGCAGCATTGCCACCAGCTGCAGTCGCACAACACAGTTTCAGAATGTATCACCAGGTGCAGCAATGGCTAGGGGTTGATAAAAATGCCCAAGATTGGGGTTGGAAACGAACAACAAATGGCCTTGAACCGATCACCTCTCTACAAGCCCCTGCTCCTCTGGACTCTGATGCGTCAAGACCTGCGCCAAAGCATGCAGCTGCAAAAAAGCCGGCCTCGAATGCAACAATCTGTGCATCAACTGTGAGGGATCATGCAATAATATGACAATCGAGACAGAAGTTACGAATATTTAGGACGGATCATTCAACGTCGAAGTTCAGGACGAACTGGGCTTCACTTTCTCACCAGTTGTTGAGACCATCAAAGAAAGTGGGGACAAAGATCTCAAAGGTATATATCATTTATTTTCTAATAAGATGACACTCACACACTTGAAGCATAACTGTACCTGACGGAAGTACTTAATAAGAATATACAAGCTAACCCCTATCTTTTATTCATTACAGAATTTCCACCACCGAAAAAAAATAAGGATTTTAGATAAACAGATTGAAGAGGATGAGACAGTTCTTTGAAAAACGAAGGTATGTACAACAGTATCTTCAACTTGAGCAGATTACTCACCTCGTCTATCAATAAAATACATAAAATCCTGCTTGTTTCAGATGATTCATCGTTCCCAAAAATTATTATAATGTAATGCGTAATTTTACTGATGGCTATGAATTATGAAACACTCACTAAACAAATGCATTTTGTTTGTTTGTATCCATTTTTTAATTACTTTCCCAAGATACATGTTTTCATGGACCATGGATATTTTTATGGAGTGCTCTAGCGGCAAAACGGCTGGTTCAGTGATTGTCAACCTTTTTTTTGTTACAGTACATTACAATTTCAAAATTTAATGGCACTCAAAGAAAAAGATCAAGTTTAAAATTTGTTTACTTACCTATATAATACACTGTGTAAAATAGTTTATGATAATAGTTTTGAATGTAAAATAAAATAATATGTACAACAAAAACAATAGTATGTTTATAAGGGATTAATTACAAGTAAACAATAAGGATATTTTTAATAAGGAATTTGAGATTGATTTTATTTTTCTTTAATATTCATTTCCAAAGTTTGGTGGCACACTTTAAGAATTTCGCAGCACACAAATATGCCGCGGCACAGTGATTGAGAATCACTGAGTTAGTCTTCAAAAGAAAAACGTTATTTATGAGAAATGTACCATTATATAATATAAATTGTACAATGTAATAAATTGTTGTAACAGTTGAGTATCACAGCAAGGACGATTTCTGCATAAACGGTGAATTTCACTAGATATGGAAATATGGCAACTTTTGGGCGCATTCTAGCAATGAAATGGTTAGTCTTATAAAAAAACATAAGAAATGTAGATAATTTTGTCTACTTTAATTTTGTATAGAATGGCTTTGTCGAAAAAACGCTTCCTTTTTGAGATATTGGCCAAAAACTGAAAAAGTGTCAAAATTTGGTCAAAAAGTGCCCAAAAAACGTTTCGGACAAAAGTATTGTCAGCAAACTAAAAATTCGTGTTCAGCGACCCAAAAAACATAAAGGGTGAAAATTTCAAAACGATAGCAAAACTTCTTCAACCACTCCTGAAGCACCAGCTGCAAATAAGAACAGCCAAATCTTATGCCTGTCTTATTCTTATTCTGATGCCACATCTTATGAAGCTAAAAATCAAGCACAACCAGCTCGTTTCTATTTCCTCCTTTGGGATATGAGTTCCATGTCAAATTCAAAGAAACAAGACATACCAACTGTGATAACCATATAGGAACAGTCAACACCCCTCTTCAACTCCCAACCAGTCCCATAGCACAACGGCAAGGCAGCTCAACAGCCTCAAATCATAGCACTTTCCGGGGGCCTTCCACAGTAAAAATGGAGATGGTGTAAGAGTTGTGTCTCAGAGATAATATTACCAAAGGTACAATATTGAATTATTTGATAAAATAAATATTTTTTCATTTCTCAATGAACTTTCTGAACAAACTATGTGCAAACATATAATATAAAACAGCAATTATTATCATGGTAGGCATATTAATTGATAATATAGTCATTATCAATAACTATCGCGGTAGGGCCAAATTATTTAGCTCAGAATGTTACGTATATTTATATTTTAAATTTCTATGGCTTAAGTATCATAAAATAAAATTTTTAAAAATGAACCTCTGGTAAAGTTGGTACTTGTATAAGCGACTTGAAGTACTGGAGTACAGCGGCAGCTTCGTAAAACAGACGTAATGACTGGAACTGGGCTAGGAATCTCTGGCGGTGCCCTGAAACAGAAGATTATTATCACTTTGCGGTTTCATTCCTAGCTTCCTATAACATTTAAGCAATTTAATTGTTAATTCTCTAAGAGTCAGAAAAAAAAAAAAGAAATAGATGAATATATATATTTTTTCTACAAAAAGTAAATGACGCACCATACTTTGTACACCATGTGACTATTAATATGATGGGAACTACTTAAGAATTAAACAAATTATAATCTTTATCATCATGTGTCAAGAAAAAGAAAAATTAACAAATAATATAATATCCCAGAACTTACTAACAAATAAAGGATCTTATCACATCTTAATTAATGTACGTTGTAAATTATTTGGATTGGATTATTACAAAAAACTAACTATACATCTTTAAACGAATTAAGAATTTTCAATCTTTTTTTTTCTGTTTCATTATTTTGTTACACTAACATTTTTTTTCAAAAGTAGCTTTCCATCAGCCAGTTTTCATCATAACAGGTAGATGTCTGTAAATCTCAAAAAACACTTATTTAACTGTTTTTTCAAAAACAGATTATAGTTAGAAAATGTAAACTTACCAGAGAGGAGATCAACAGAGAGTGATGCATGAAGTTTAAACAGAAATTTCACACAAATGTCATATAGTTGTGAAGAATCCTGAATAAGAGGGATAAGCGGTGCGAGGCGGCACTGCCCGCAACTAGTCATAGAATTCGATCGAGACATATCCAGCGATCCAAAGACTGCAATCAAAATTTTAAAAAAATAATAGATTGATTATTTCTTCTTAGTTTAAATATTAAAGATTTTTTGTCAATTAATAGAACATAATTTAAAAGGATATATAGTAAGTTTATTGTTACTAAATGATGAATATAGATGGAATGTAAAATTGTAATTATGTTTTTAAATTTAATGTACTTAAGTAAATAAAGTAGATCCCTAAATAAAGATGTAATCCTTTGTATAAGTTACTGGATACACAGTGGATCCTCATAATATTGAAGGAATAGAGATAAATATTAAAAAAAAAAAAAAAAAGAGGAGGCAGTCCTCCCACCAGACTCGAGGGCAGAGTATGGGATAACTCTCGGGTTTGTTGAAAGAGGAAGAATGAGAGAGCAGAACAAGTTTATGCAGCTGGAAGTCCAAGATTCTATAGAAGTTCTGCTGTACGACTTTACAGTGGAAGACGCACAGAAAGTTGTCAGGCAGGAAAATCAAAAGGAGAACACAGAAGAAGAGAATGAACCTCCTTCGGATTTTAAAGAAATTATGGATTTGATCCATAGAATAAAGAACAACAAAAGTCTGGGTTTGGATCACCTTACAGTAGAAATTCTTAAATATGGAGGTGAAGACTTGCAAGACTCTTCATAATTTGATGGTGCAGATCTGGTTTGATTAAAAGATTCCAACAGAGAGGGAAAAAGAAAAGATTTGCCCAATCTACAAAAAATATGATAGGCTTGCTTGCAAAAATTATTGAGGAATATCGCTCCTACCAACAGCATATAAAATTCTTTCCGGAATTCTCTTCAATCGATTGTTTCCCTAGCTGAACAAATAGTATGAAAGTACCAGATCGGATTTAGAAGTGAGAAATCCACTGTGGACCAAATCTTTTCACTGTGGACTATCATGGAATGGGGAATTAATAATATGACAACCTATCATTTTTTCGTTGATTTCAAGAATGCGTACAATAGCATTAATTGTTCCAAAATTTACAAGGCACTTGAAGGATGTCCAGATCTTGGGCTTTGCTGAGGATATTGTTGGCATAGTTGCAAGATCCAAATCTGTGCTGAGTAATGCTTTTCTGGCAATCCAACAGGCAGCTTCGCTGTTGGACCTTAAGATAAATGAGGCCAAAAACTAAAAATATAATGGTAAAGGTAGACGGAATTCAGCAAGATGAAATTTCTATAGAAATATACTCATACAAATTTCAAGGAGAACAGGAATTTATCAACCTCATATCCCTTGTGATGTCGACCAATGACATATCGAAGGAAATAGAGAAGAGGATAGCAAGAGCAAATCGTTGCTATTTTGGCTTAATTGCTATTGGATTAATTAATATTTTGGCTTAATATAAGTAGGCAGATCAGGAGTCAACTACTCACAAGGCATATTAAGGCAAGATTATGTAAAACTTTGATTAGGCCGGTGCTGACCTAAGTCTTACAAACATGGATGATGAGAAAAGCCTCCTTATATTAGAACATAAAATTTTGCAAAAAATATACAGCCCTGACAAAGAAGGAGAAGTTTGTAGGAGACGAAGAAGCCAAAAGTTATACACTCTGTATAATGACTTCAATTTCGTCAACTTCAGAAAACTTAGAAGGTGAAGTTGGCCCATGTGAATCAAATGGAGGAGGGCAATATGCCCAAAAGAGTCCTTGAGAATAGGATTGATCAATGAAGGAGGAGAGGCAAACCCAGACTAAGATGAATGGATAGTGTGGTGGCTGACTCCAGGATACTGCTAGGAACACTGAACTGGAAGGCAGCGGCAATGGATCAAGATGGATGGTGAAAGCTCCTAGTGGAGGCCAAGACCCACCCACAGGTGGTAGCACCAACTAGATAAATAGATAGATTCCCGACATGGAACATTTTTAACAACATGCAATGATGAGCTAAAATAAGATTGTAATAATTATTACAATTTTTAGAAAAGTGGGCTAGTAGTCTAAGAGAAAACCATTTGACATAGACATATAAAATTCCTAAACAGCCATCATTTTGATCTGAAATGGAGATTGGTAATCTCCAGGATCTTCCTGGAGTGACCTTTGATTTTGGTCCCGAATCTAAGAAAAAAGCTGACAGATATTTTACCAACTCTTATTTTGGATTCTGTAGATTCAAACTTTGAGATGAGCATATGAAACTTCTGATTGACTGCCATTTAAAAAACAAAATGGTGTGGATGCTAATCCAAGGATCATTCCAACATACCGTGTGACCCTGCTTCCAGTTCTTTAAAAAAATCAATACAGCTGTCTGGAAGAAAAGCAGTGGACAGCAGTTTATGCCATGTTTAAAAAAAATGGTGATTGGTAGTTTCAAGGGTCTTCCAGAAGTAATCAATGATTTATGTGCCAAATTAGAAAACAAAATAGGCTCAGTAATCTTGGAGAAAAGTTCCAGACACATATCTTTATACTCTCTAACAAGAAGTATCTTTCATTCTTTAAATTACCAAAATTAGTGATCCTATGTTGAAATTAAAGGAACGACAATTTCTATATTTCCGAAATTTTAACACTTTTATCTGGTCAAATAATGATCCGAGGCTAAATTTGAAAACATCATAAAGATAAAGTTTTGATATAATTTTGCAAGAAAAAAAATCTTACTTGCAGATTGTAGGGCCAATATTTCATCCATGTAGTCAAACATTTCAACAGATAATTGAAAGTAATTGTTGACGTCATTTTCACCAATGGCATCCAGCTCATCGGCAGTCAGGGTCAAGTTGCCCGGTATTCGGGGGTTCCTTTTATGAAATTGGATCTTAGTTATAAGTAACCGACTGTATATTTGTATCAGCTTCCCGTATGGATCTCGTAAGTGTCCCTAAAATAAAACAGACCATTTTAATTGGCAATTTTACATAAAATATAATTAATTAAAATAAAGGAAGCAAAAATTTAATGAGGAATATTTTGATAGTCAATAGAAAATGTTAATTATTTAATGTCTAATAAATAAAGTCCAAGACAAAATTAATAGATCATATTAAACTTCTTGCTAGACAAACAGATGTGAATTTTCATTTAGCCATGTATGCCAAGAAAGTATAAAACATAGTTCTAAATATTCAGCAAATAATTGAACAACTGTAAGAATGAATGTGGTTTAAATAAGTATCTGGTAAATAAGTTTATAATAAACTAGAGAAACTAGAAGTTTTTGATTTGAAGTTCTTCAAAAGTAAAATGTTTTTATTTTTAATAAATTTTCAACTAAACAAAACTGATGAAAAGAAACATTGAAATATCCAATATAACTAAAAGACAATCAAATAAGCAAAAAAACCAACCCAAAGCTTTCCGAGATCCTCAATAGTTGAAATATGGCGATAGCTGTCGGCAATACACTGTGGATGTCCCTCCCTGAGCACCTTATGCAGGACATGGCAGAACTTCCAAGCAGAGATCCTACAGGCAAATATTGAATTAATAACAGCAATTTTTCAAATAAAAGTTAGAAGAAGGAAGTTTAATAGGCCTTAATGGATTAGAACTAGCAGTACATTAATAGTTTTCTATCATGTTTCGTCAATTTTCTAATAATTTCGTGAAATATAAATTTAATTGATAAATATAAAAATATTAGTAGAAAAAGGTCTTTTCAGTCTCGATAAATAATTACTTTATTTCAAATTTATTCAAATATTCGCCTCTTTAGGTATCTTCAGAAGTTGATTGTGTTCTTTGACTAAGTGTGTAAGTGGATGCACTGCTATAAGCGAATAAAAATTTAAATTACATGTAAAATCAGATTATCCCTGAGGATGCCTGAAGAAGCAAAAATTTGAATAAATTTGAAATAAAGCAATTATTTATTGAGACTGAAAAGGCCTTTTTCTACTAATACTTATTATAGTCTCTTTCCCAAGATCATCTTTTGTGTATAAATATATTTTAAAACTTTACATCAATTTAAATAAACACATTTGAGACTTTCTCCTTTGATTAAATATAAATAGGAAAAGCATAATAAAAATGTAATATATAAAATAAAATTAATAGAGAAGTTATTTCTGAACAATAACATTACACTTCTTCACCACCATAATACATTACATGTTTTGATAGCTTAGTCTCAGTATATGTAATATTTAAATACTTTTTAACCGTACCGGCAATCACTAGAAGTACTTTTTATTCTTCTTCTAGGATATAACCAGCAACTCTCAATTGATTCACAACTCCTTACTTGAGATATCACATTAACTATTTTAAATTAATAAATTGATAAAATAAATGGCAGAAGGAAAACAAACCTGTTATCCATAAGAGGCAGTCGATGGATGACAGCCCAGAAAGTCTCAGCACATTTCTCATGGAATGTTCCAAGAATCGCACCTACAAAAATATCAAATTAGACATTAATACATTTTTCATAAATTAAAAACATAATATAGATTTTATATTCTAATGACTGTAACACCTGCTTAATTCTAGAACACAAGAATTTATTTAATTTAGATGCTATTAATATTAAATTAGAACCGAGAAGGAGTTGATCAGGGGTTGCTTAAACTGTAACTCTGCCTGATGCCGATACTGGATATGAACTCTTTTGAGATGTGGTGGTAGGTTCTGACCACATTTCTCTGTTTATGGTATATGCTTAGAATAGCTAGCCTTAGTCCCACATCTACTCCCATTTCCTGCAATGCCGGATCTAATACATTGACTCTGTTGAAGGCTTTGGATAGGTCGATGAAATAAACATACGCCTCCCTGTTCCTCTTGGTGACCTCTGAAATCTGTCATAATGTAGTAAATATCAGATTATGGCAGTTTCTAATTTAACTGAATCCTTATTCTGATTCATGAAGAAGTGGTTCAGTAGCTGTTCTGAGGAGTTTCCCTATGATTTTTGAGCAAATATTTTTTTTTTATGTATAATTTTTAACATTTCGTACCAGATGAATAGGTATGAAACCAGAATTTTGATGCAGAAAATACATGTTTATTGTATAAAAATGTTAAAAAATAATTTCTTCGAAATCTTATATATCACTAGCTATACAATTTTCCTATCTTTCTAGCAATTCATGAATGTCATGGCAGAAAAACTATTGCTCTTTTGTGGCGAACCAGTCATTTTCATAAGAACAGAAGAGCTGCTGAGCAAGAGGCATGCCACATCAATGCAAATAAATAGTAATTGGATGGATAAAGTCGAGTGAGTTAGCCGCCATGTGCTAATATTTTCCAACTAAACACCTCAATCGTTTCCTTAACTGATTTTGCAGTGTGTGATGGTTCATTATCATGAACCATGAAATAGAAATCACTTTGTGTTGTCTTTTTTGATAACCTGGTCATTTTTCAAGCAATGCTAGATTCAAATCGATTATTTATTATCAATAGCACTTAGTATAAACGGTCTTGCCAAGTTTTAGCAGCTCATTATACTTTGTAATTTTTATTAATTAAAATTTCTGGAAATGGAATTAAAATTCCATTAAATTGATATAATTATTGAAATTGTTATAAAATATTGATCCAACTATTGACATTGTTGGGAAATTTTAGATTTTGCTAGAGACTTAGGTAATTGTAGGGTGTGCAATCACACACTCACAAGGTAATGTCACACAGCCAGAGATTCTGCTGACAACTATTCTCTTAAATATGCACAGAACATCAGCCCATTAGAGACAACTCACACCGACTGGGCATAGGTGTAATGGCCCTACCCCATTTATCTTAATCAGGAATCATGGTGCGGTCAAGCATACCAGAAAGAGCCTGGAGGATTAGACCATGGAAGGTATTTTCAGGGAAAGAAACATAGACCCTCATACTTTTATTCTCTCACCTTGTAGGCTATATGAGGTTTTTCTCAGGGCAGGGGATTAATGCCAGATTTAAAAGTCCACCTTGACACTGGGATTTGAATACGTAATTTTTGATTTATCAGATTGCCAGGTAATGGGTGTTTTGTACACAAGTTAGCCTGCTTTCAGCTTTTTCACTCTGGCCCCCTGTAGACCTGGTACTTTTAATGACCCTAGACAGCCATAATCCATGGATCTAAACCAATTTTTTTTATGACCTTCAACCCAAATTAGCTTGTGGAAATGATCCTACAAGTTGGTCTCAAACTATGGGAAGTTGGATGGTTGAAATGGTTGGGAAGTTGGGGGGGGGGAGGGGGTTAAGTTGATCGAGCTATGGGTGGTCTAGTCTGCTACTGTTCCAAGGAACACTTGTTTCCTAGCAAGTTGAGGTTAAGTGATCCTCTCCAGGATATTTGTGCTCACACAAGTAATATATGTGTCTGCGAGAAGGCTGCATAGTACACCTCAAAATTTTTTGGTCTAAGTTACAACCAAAAAAATAAAATAAATAATAGTATCACATTTGACGCTATGGTGGTCAAGATAATGGGGTGAGGATCCAAGAGTAACCAGTTTACAATGATGTGGGTTCAATTCCAGTCAGTATCAGGTCAGTAAATATTCATTCCTCAGGAGTCCTCAGAAATGTATCTTAACTCTCTCACTCTGATTAGAAAGGAACAGGAATCTCTAGGAAGCAACCATGAATCTGAAAAAAGTATAAGACCCACTTGCTGACTTAGTTGCTCTAATGAATTCCAATACTAATACTAATAAGAGGTTTTCATTAAATATTTTTCTAAAGAATTTTCTGCACAAAAAATGTTTTATTTTTCATAAACCATTTATACATAATATGAAAGAAACATGTGTTCTATAAAATTTTTATAGGGTTAAATATAAATAAAGATTAAAATTTTGTATTGCCAAAAAAATTCATAATTTTAAGTAGCAAAACTTCATGATTAATTAAGTATAGAAGAGTATTATAAAGGATATTTGGAATAAACAAAACAACAGATAAGTGAATATAAATATCAAATAATCGTTTACTTTTTAAAAAGGTAATTTATAAATTAAAAATACAAAATCATACTTCTAACATGTTTCTCTTTGACTGGAGTTTCTGTTTGGTTTATAGCCTTGCTAATGCTCACGCCCTGTAAAAAAAAAAAAAAAAACAGTTTTTACTATAATTTTTTCATAATGTATCTTTCTATTACCTTTTAAGTTCTGTTATTTATTTTTTATCAGTTTAAGTTAAAAATTATGAAGGTTTAACAAATACAAAATAAATCACTTTAGAATGAAAAGCTGTCATGATATTCATCAGTTAATCTGCAGACAAGCAATAAAAGAAAAATTTACTTTAGAAAAACTAAACATCACTTTTTGATGAAAAAGCAACAATAGATGCATTCTTTTATTAAAATCAAATCAACAAGTTCAAATAAGCATACAAATATTTTTAGTCTAAACCTGTCTATCAAATGACAAACAACAAAGTTTTTGCTCCTACAATAAAATAATTATTGCTAGTGTATTTCAAACATATTTACAAAAGAAACTTTCACAGACATTTAAAGTTCAGAGACTTCCAACTTAATAAAGATGAATATTAACTTATTAACTAATGTTTTCAGTGAAAATCAAAAAGTAAACAATTGCCCATGTGGCTATCAATAATCAATTTAATTTGAACAATAATTTAGTAATTAAAATAAAATTAAAAAATGGACTCAAGAAGTTTCAACTAATTTACTTAAGCATTTTTAAATAAATAAATGAATAAATAGTAAAATCGACATATTTGAAAATCAGTTCCAAAAAGTTGAACCTTATCTAAAATAGTGATTTAGAGGAAATCAGTTCTTTGTAAGTCTATACTTTATCAAACTGAAACTGATAATTTGTATCAAAATCTGATCTAATCGGGAGCTAAATTAATTTTTATTAAATAAGGGAAATCAGTAGTACTTAAATATTAACTAAAAACAGGAGAAAAGTTTATAATAAGGAGAAACAAACAGAGTCCAAAAGTCTTATATTTTTTCAACTAAAAACTTTGAGGAAATTAAATTTATTTTTCAATATCTGAAAGTGGATAAGCTGAAGTTACTATAAAAAACAATAATCAACATATTATTTTATCTAAAAGAAAATAAATAAAGACAAAGAAAAATAAAGTACTAAAAAGAAATTTTAGCATAAGATTTACAAGCAAATGAACTTGTTGAATCTTATCTTAAATGAAATTTCCTGTCAATTTTTCCTCACAGATAATGTAAAAATGTAACATTGATAAATCAAATTATTTAGTTTCTTATGCTTTCAGTAATTTTTAATCTTAGCTATATTTTTGATCTAAACATGAGAGATATTAAATAATCGACAAGATTTTAGTACAGTTGTACATTTAATTTAATTTATTTTTACATCAAGTTGTCCAAAATCTTTCTAAATCAGTTTCTTCACTTAATAACAAACCTTCAATAGTTTAATAATATTCTAGCAGTTCTTACATCACTGGGACTAAAAATCTGCTTTCTCATTCCAATCCTTAAGAAACAAAAAGCCATCCTACATTCTGGACCTTCTCACCCTTTGTTCCTCCATCCAGATTTTAATCAACTAATTTTTAAATCCCTTTTTATATAACAGTTCCCTTAGAAAAATCCTTCATCAATTATATTACCTCGCTTTGGAATTGCAAATCCATCTCCATTCACAAAGCTTCATCACAAACCTTATTTATTTCTATATCTAGTCAACTATTAATATTCTGCTTACATGAAAAGAATAAATGTTTATGTGAGTTGGTATAACTATCTAAGTTCATATTTATTTTCATTTTTTTATTTTTATTATTTACCTTTTGGTTTCTACTACAATTAAGTTTTAATTTGGAAGACAAGTTTGAACTACCAGAAGATTGTTCAAGCCCATTTCTTGAAAATTCATCTCCAATCAAGGTGTGAGAAATGACACTCTCATAAAGAGCAAATTTCAGCATAATTCTATTTCCGTATATATTTGTATCCATGTTCTTTTAAATGAGTAAAAATTTCCAAAGGTTTTAATTAATGCTCCTTCATTGGTTAAAAATTACGATTGTGCAGAGTATATGTATTCCTCTGTTGCTCTGTTTAAATTTACATACATCTTTAAACAAGGATTATTTAAATATTAAGATTAGATTCATCATAAAGTTGTGAATATTTTTATTTCCAAATGACTTGAAATAATTTAATATATTGTACATTAATTGTTCTGATAAATCAATTACAGAAAAATATTATTAAAAGGTTTATATTTCAAAAGTTTAATTTTCTCCAAACAATGATTAAGCCTAAATGTCCAAATGTAGATCCACTGCCTTTATTTACAATATTTAACAGATGGTAAACACTAACTGAAACATTTCATCATTTTTTAGTTTATACCATCTTCAATATTTATAGATTAACAATTAACAATTGATAAAAAGTACTGCTATTGATTGACAGTGAGTCAGAAATCATTGTTAATTATTTAGAGTAGGATATATCGTTGGTTTATTACTAAAATTCATTAAGTGACATTTGATAACCTCAAACAATTAAGAACTTTGATGAATTTTCTCTTTGTTAAATCAAAAAATTGTGCACATAGTGTAACGATATATGATAAATAAAAGGTTTTGTGTCATGCACATAAAGTATTTTTTTTAACGGATAAATAAGGTCGAAATTCACAAAACCATACTTGAAAGTTAACCTACATTATCCATGCTCTCGATAGTATCATATTTCTTGTATTAAGGTATAAAATGGCAATCATAAGCATCCAAAATGACGAAAAAATTTCTTTCTTTAAGAACAAGAATTTCCAAATTCTCAGGGATAATACCAAATACTATTAGTTCAGATATACCTCAAAAAGCATCAATATACCTAACAATGTACACCCATCATTACTGTATAAAAGATAGCAATGAACTACAACAGAATTGTTAAATGATGCAGCACAATTGCTCACTAAATAATGGTTGTTAAATTACATTCATCATAAGGAATATAACCAAAATGTACATACTCCGGTAATTCAATAATGATTCAACTACTAATTTAAATAAGAACAATATCGGCATTATTGCATGAAAATTAAAAGGTGTACCAATATAATATTTATGTTTACATTTAAAAACAATATTATTTAGGGTATATTTTACCCTTCTTACACTCTTTAATGACGTTCAGAATATGACAAATGTGCATGACAGTGTTAAGGTATTGTGGGAAACAATCATGGACACCCAAGTTCAGTATAAAGCAAGTAAATACCACAATCAACACTTATTCAGACAAGAACACATAAAGTACTCACTCATTCCCTTAGAAGACTTTCCCATCATGTTTGGTTCTCATGTTCGGTAGAACAGTCAAACAATGTTCTAAAGCAGGGGTTCCAAAATAAAGGCCCGCAAGTACCTTTTCAATTTGGCTCGTGAAAGTTTTTTTGATAAGATTGTAAAATTAGAAAAACTTTTTAAAAATATTTACTTCAACATTAATTGCATTTTTTTTTTTTTTTTTTCTTAGAAAGCTCATTTCACATCTGAAATGACATTTATAAAACAAGATATATTTTTTCATCACTAGCCATAGGCCGTTCGACTTTGGTGGAAGTCTCAATGTGGCCTGTGGGCCAAAAAACTTAGAGATCCCTGGTCTAGAGCATAGGAGACTTTTCTTGCTAGTCTAATCATCGTAAGGGGGTGTATTCGATTCAGAGAAATTTAGCAAATAACTTCATATATTGACGCGTTATACACCAAACAAACTTATTGATGCATACATTAGACTAACAACATCTGTACACTATTGTAAAAGAAGTATAACCCTTTCAAAATTTCAGGCACAATACCATGGTACAAAATTATGTCGAAACCATTGCTGTTATACGCTGCTCTGTAAAAAGTGGTAATTTTCAACGGTAATGAGCCAAAATACACATGACTCATCAATAAACCTCAGTACCACATTTAAATTAATTTTTTTTAAAATTAAACATTAGCAATAAACAGCAACTACAATAGAAGCTGCCAATATACTGGTATCAAATTTTAAAAAAGGCATAGCATTCACAATCTTAAGAACAATAGATTCTTCTTCTAGAAAAATAAAGTAATGCTAAATTGTTTAAATATTTTAATAGCCTTTACATTCTTGGAAATGAATTATGAGGAATAAGTTAATACAACTAACAGATTATTCTATGAGACACCAACTTAGCAGATAGAATTTTCAATTTTTTTTAAAATCCTTAAATGTAATTTCTGTTCAATTGTTTATGAAGCACAGCATTTAAAATTCAATTACAAATAACTGATCAGAAATTCTTTCATTCCTGAGATATAATGATACACATTTTATTTTTAAAAACTCAATATAAATTTAAGTTTGAATTAAAATTATACATATATATATATATATATATATATATATATATATATATATATATGTGTGTAAAATATTAATAATGTTCAAAATATCTTAAAAATCTTTACAACATATGTACAAAGAGGTACCCTATCACTACGATAATATATGTTTGATAAAACAAAAAGTTTCAAGATACTCATTCCGGGGCAGCCAAGTCAATCTTATGGCCACTGAATACGTACCAAATTTAGATACTGCTTGTAAGTAAAAGAAGAAGCCATAACCATAAGACATAGGTAAAAGTAAACAAAAACATAAGTTAAGCCATATCACAAATGTGATCTGAGGTAGAAAAAAAAGACTAAGCGAGAACTTATTGACATAGACAGATATCATATCAATGAGATTAAAGTCAAGAGGCTCTCACTCAGTTAAGCCATTCCACAGGCTATTACCTTCGCAACAACAGGTATGGTGAATCTGTTTGTCAACGGAATGGATGGTGAGGCACTAAAACCTTTTTTTTCAGTCTTAACTATTTCTTCTATTTAATTTTAGACCATTGTTTTTCATATAAATTCTCATAAGGTTTGACAATCTATCTAAAATATTAACAATTAAATATCAAACAATGAAAAACTTTTCAGTTACATTCCCTTTATTTTCTTCAATATAAAATAATATTAACTAATTTGAAAGTGTTTAGGACTTCCTACTAAATTTGAAAAGAAAATTTAAACCTATAAACACCCTATACTGAGATAGTGGCTCAAAATAAATTAAAAAATCAAAATAATTTGACGAATATTCAATTTATGACAGCATCATATTGTTCCAATGTAATATATAATAGACAAGAGTTTATTATTGTTTTTATACAAAAATAAAGCACAAGTTATTTATACACAGTTTTTTTTATAGTAGCTAGGATTGGATAGAATAAATTATATTATTCTATAATTCCACTAATTTAAAATCCTAAAATTTAATAGAAAGTAGACAGAAAAATCAAAACAAGTCTTATTTTAAATATTGGGAATAACTATTTATTTTATATATATATATTAGTTTCAGTTACTACTTTTTTTTAAGGCTCGAAATATGCTGCATATTTGTTACTATTGCCCTCATAATTAGAAGAAACTATTTAATTATGTGAATTTTGAATTACAATTATAGCATTTCAGCAATAGAACACATTCATCAGGATAATGTGGCCTGAGTTATTCAAGTTAAAAGATGGT